CTTCTTTAAAAATAAGTGTTAAAACATATTTCTGATGGTAATCCAAATTAATTTTGACATTTTTTAATACTTTCCTTAGTATAAGTTTTCCATTATAAGAGAATCCATTAATAACTGTAAAACCGTTAGAAAAACCTTCCTTGTTTTCTCTGAACCAACAAAGTTTCTCTGAAGTCTTTTTCTCCTCTTTTTTGGTAGTAAATCAGTCCTTTTCTATTGCAATCAGATAAGCATATCTAAGTCTCATCTATTGTAGCTATACATTACCTTTTTTCACCTGCCAAATAATTTTCATACAGCAACATGCATAGAGTCTTACACTGAGAAACATGTTTCGGCATTAGACAATGAACATCATGTTTTTCTGTTTAGATTAGCTTTAAATCATATTTTATAATTTTGTTCACAGTGCCTACAGATATATTTTAAGATTTTGCATTATCTCTTTGGGAGGCTGGATTTTACTTTAAAACATGAGATGCGACTTTAGGTTTAATAAGAGCGGTACGCACCTTTGTTGAGTATGCATTTTTTCCCATCAGATGTAAACTGTTTCTTTCCTTTCGTATTAATTATGTCACTTGTTTTACGTGAAGAAATATTAAAGCCATGCTTTTCACATCTTTTTAAATAATTGAATAAGAGTATTTCTGTGTGGACAATGCAAAAATATAGCCTTCGATGCATTGTTTATTTTTTGGCAACATTCTAAAGAAAAGAATATTTTTAGTGCTGCAGATGATTTTTAAAACCTATTCTAATTTGATGCCAATCATGTTTTTTTTTTAAATTAATATTTTAATTCATGGAGAAAATCAAAATCATTACAAAAATGTGTAAACACCCTTTGTATGTATACCTTTATGTATACCCTTTGTATGTATACCCTTTGTATGTATACCTTTATGTATACCCTTTGTATGTGTACCTTTTGTATGTATACTTTTTGTATGTATACCCTTTGTATGTATACCTTTATGTATGGGGTATCCTAATGTAAATACTTCTTTAACCTTTGATTATTAGAGTATGTTTATGTATAATCAAACCACCACATGGTTCACAAGACGTTTCACTTTCCATATTACTTTTCATCTCATTTATTTTACTTATATTGCTTAATCTATTTTCTCTGTAAAACTCTTCATACTACATCATTCAAGCATTTTATTCTTTCTCTGTTTTCTTTTCCATCAAAATATTTTCAAAACTTAGCCATCTGACAAATCTGAACAAAATTAGAGAGAAAGAAATCAAGCTGTCTTCTTTTCTTCCCCCCCCCTTTTTTTTTTTTTTTTCTCTGACTGAGATGTTACTAAACAAGTTCCAGAGTAACCTGGCATTACAAAGTGACAGAGATTAAAAAGAGCCATAGTAGTTTTTGATTTTTCATTATGTATATAAATCTATAAATCTAATTGGCGTTATATAGTAATCAAACTGTGTTCCTTTCCCAGACCACGTTTCTCAACCTTCACTAATGCAAACATCTAAAACAACTAAACAACCGCTACATTTTACAAGGTTTATTTTAATTTCTCAAAAATATTAAAAAATAATTTTGCCATTGTACATGTTGTTTTGTATAATATGCATACATAACATTTTTAGATAAAAATGGGTTACCATTTTTATTAGTGTGAATTGGCCTGTTTAAGAGGGACAAAATTCTTGGTCTGATTTATTTCACTTAGTTTTAAACCGCAAATAAGGATAACTTTAATTTTGTTCGTTTTTATTTTTAATATAACAGGAAGAAAATCCTTGTTCACACAAATAGGTGAAATGGCAATAAAAATATATTAGCTTTTTTGAAATCCTTAAGTTATTTTTCGGTTCAGACACAATAAAAAATGTATTTTTTTAAATCTCATCCGAGTCGATAAGGAAATTTCTATCAATTTTTTTCACAAATTTTTGATTTAATAGTTAAAAATACTTTTCTTTGTACCACCGGTGAGAACACTGCCTGACTAATTTTATATCTATGAGAAATATTATTTATGTCTTTTCCAAACTTGGTTTGAGAGTCTTTTTTTTATATGCATTTGTTTTAAGGAATATAATATTTTAACTTGTTTGGTGCAGGGTTATTTTACTTAACGTTATCAGTAATTATTTTTCCTATTACCCCTACTCCGCAGAAACCGTACAAATTCATTCCCCAGTGCCACGGTTTTTCACACAGGTCCACATTTTCGATGTCTTAGGGGAAAAATTTCAGTTTTACTTTCTAAACTGTTCCTTTCACAAAATAAAGAACAAAAGAAAAAAAATGAAGCACAAAATTTAATGTTTTGAGTAAAAGTATATCCAAGATCCCGCAATGGAGTTTCTCGTTTCATTTTAACCAGTAAAGGTATCATTTCGGTTATACCTGTGAATCTATGCCTAAAAAAACATATATTTCTTCTGAACTGCTTGAATGCTACAAATTTTGTTCTTGTTTTTTCGTTTGCAAGCTGTTGATTCATATACTCGTCTACAAAACAGGTAGTTTCATTAACAATATGAAGCATGAGCAGTTAATCAAAAAATAATTCAAAAAAGATAAATGCGTTTGAAACATGCATCATATCTTTCTTTATTCGTGGAACCTACTACAAAAAGTAAGCAAAAACGGAGGGCACAGAATTAAAAAAAAAAAAAGAAAAAAATGTTTTACTCAAACAACACCAGCCAATACCGCGCAGTCATTACTTTCACTGTTTTAGACATATCCCTCTCTCCAATTTCTCCCCACACTTCTCTGAAATAGTATCCTCTTTCGCATACTTTGTCAAGGTCATTATGGTGTTGCATTCCGCTGTGCGAACAATTTTATGGTTAGCAGTGCAAAGCAAATGATAGTATTTTGGAAGGGTGTATATATACGCCCGGGCAGTTAACATCGGCTGAGCAAGACGTATATGTACACCTTCGGCAGTTAAGGGGTTACACAATCAACATAAAAATATATTAAACATACTATGTACTGTACACATAGGTAAACGGAAACATAAAAAGAAAAAGGAAAAAAAGGAAAAAAAGAAGAAGAAAGAAAAAACTCGTAAAAAGAAGAAAAAGAAGAAAACATCTAGCTCAAGTGAGTCTGACGATATTGAAGAATCTGAGAGTTGGGTTGAAAAAAAAAGTAAGTTATTACTAGGTATTAAAACTCTGAGATTTTTATAACATATGTAGAAATATTTATTTCTATAATATAGTAATAAAATTTGTGTGTTTATATCATCAGCAAATTATTTTTGTAACATGTTCTGTAGAATTTAATTTTAAAATTCTAATTTACTAAGTATGTGAAACTGATGTCAGTTAAGATATGTCATTTTATTGTGTATTTTTTATCCATATACTAAATAATTGAAATATGTAGAAATTGTTTGGGGAAAGAAAATCAAAACAAAATAGGCAAATAATAAAAATACAAAAAAGATGCATTAAATGTGAGATTCAAATCAATATATTAATAAAAGAAAAGAAACTTTGTTAAATGCTTTGCTTAGAAATGAAAAAGGTAATTTATTTATATTACTATCTCTTGGACAAAATAAAATTTAAAAATGGCTCGTATGTGTACAGTAAACCTTTCCGGATGCACAAGTTACTTCTTTAACACATTGCACATTCAGCAAAATCACATATCACAAAGTTAATTTTCTATTAAAAAAAATGATTTAGTTCAAATTAAGAAAGTGTGTATAATTTATACAAACCTGAGTATTAATGTAATTAAAAGTGGAAAATGAAATAAATGTAAATTAAAGGATTTCTAACTGTTGCTTAAAAAGTTGATACATGGTACAATTATTTTTTTAAATAGCTGCGGATTTTTGTTTGGGACAGTGTCTGATGCATCTCATTCAACATTTCACATTAAAAAGTGATATGTTTTTCAGTATCTCTCATAAAGTGTTTTCTTCTTTCTCCGTTTGGGTCAGTTTCCATCACAAAATCAGGTAGTTCCTGAGCCTTTTTTTTAGCAATTTGTTTAACTTCTTATACATTAAAGGATTTTTATTTTCTTCACTATCTCTGCTTTCACCGTCTTATAAAATCGTCCAATTTTTGATATGTCATTTCACGATTGCCATTTTAAACTAATTCTTTGATTTCTCCTTTCATATCTGAAAAATTCTTCACTGCCTATTGCTTTTATAATTTGTACTATTTCCTTGGCTTGATAGAAATCCTTTAAAATGGTTGGTTTCTGGTTCAAAGTGCATTAGTAATGAGCAGCATCTTAAAGCTCCTGAAGAGTGCTAATTCGGGGCTGCAGTAATGTAAGATGGAGGAGATGTGGGCCAACTGCGTGCTCTGGATTATTTCACTCTGAAGATAACTGATAACTAATGCGCAGTTTGATGGGGATGAGTGTTGTCTATTTGGAAGATGTTATTATTGATTTCACTTATTAACAACATGACATAAAAATCAAGAACTTTATCTCTGTGTATTCGTACTTGCAGTGGCAAAAATGTGTAAATCAGTGTGCCCTTTCAAAATGATACCTACCAATACCATGATTCCACAACCTTCATACCAATGATTTTCACAGGTGTTTTCAAGCTTATTGCATGTATTTTCTTCCTCCAAATTGTAGCATGTCTGAAATGATTCTCCAAATGGATATGAGACTTATCCATTTGGAGAATTACCATGAAAATCCATAAATTACTATGATCAGTCTTATTTCCATAACTCCAATCATGGTAATTTATGGTGCTCCTGTCATGATGATCTCTGCACCATTTCAACTGAATGCATTTCATAGTCCAAATGAGAGGTACAAAATCTTAGATTTTTTTGCATACGACGCTCTTTTATGCTACCTATAACTCATGGTATATCTAATTGAGTTCGAATCCCGGCAAATGGGCCGGTTGCATGGGCATTTTCGTGGTTTTCCCCATGTGTATGTGAGCCAGTTTCCTTTAATAAGTCCTCCTAATCTGAAGGCATCCCTTAGCTCTAGAGTGGTTTGCCTTAAATTAAATAAACCAAACCAAATGCGATAGCTGTGTTTCTATAGCTGCTACATAAGCCCTTGAAATCTGGGCTAATGTTATTTGTCTATTTCTTTTAGCAGTAACTGTCTTGAGACACTGCTGAGAACATTTTCGACCTTCACCTTGTTGTCTGCGTCTTTAAACCGCTTCTAGGTTCTCGACATGATGCTTTTGACTATACTTAGGTCTTTGCTGATCTATGCTAGTGTGCATCCTGTTTCTTTTCTCCATTACATGCCATTTCTCACAATAGGTCAAATGCCTTCTCATTAACATGTTTCACCTTCTGCATGTGAAAATTTTATCTAGCCACTAATACAGTCCTTAAAATTAGGATTTAAACCCCCTTTGCACTTTTTCCCAAAAGAATGGGCATAAAATTGTTGTATATTTCTGTATAGTGAGAGTAGATATAATTGGAATACACGATAACGTTAACTTGGCCCTACCAACTGATGACCTCTCATTGAACTTCACTTAATAGCGTTAATATAGAGTACCTTTTTATAGTTATTCCTTTCATTTTTCCTGCAGATGTATTAGTAAAACCCCTTACTTAAACATGAATAAAAGTGTGGCACTATACATTTAAAAGTTGAGAACAGAAATTGTTAAATGTATATTTAATATTTGCATTTTTTTTTTTTTTTGCTTATTTATTTTTCACTGTTTAGTTATGTTGTTTTACAATCAATTCGTGTTTGGGATGTTAGCTATTAGTTGTGTGACCAACAGTTTGTTCTTGAAGTTTTGCCAACTACCGCACTGCGCTGCAGCAATTTTTTCTCTTAAATATTCAATTTTTAGAATACAATAAAGTTTTTATACAAAGCTGATGTTTTTTAGTTCAAGGCAACTAGAAAGAAAAGATTTAATCCCCCCCTTTCTTGGTGGCACTGCGAGCCAAACAGTCACCATCATTGAAGAATGTAGCCAACAAATTCATGTTCTCATTCATCTGCCATATTCTCCCTATCTTCCTTTTTTTTTTTTTTTTTTTTTTTCTTTTCTTCCTTGTAGAAATAGGTTTTAGAAAGCACAGAGAAAGGTGTGTAGCTTCACAAAGGTATAATTTGGACAATAACTGCTGGAAATTATTATATATATATTAATTTTCCCTCTGGAACTTTTCTAACAAACAATGTATTTAATAATAATATGACTATGAAATATACTTTATTTTAAATGTACATTTAGCTTTATAATCAACATTTATTACACAACATGAACTAAATTATTAGTCCAAAGGGCATTCGCTCAGAAGGGCTATTAATTTTGTTTTGGCATATTGCATTGAAAACTTTAAAATGCTGTATCACTTTCAAATTAACACCCTGTGTTTTTTATTTAAAGAAATTATATAATGAAGAATCTGCATAAATGTATGTATGTTTCTCACATTGAGATAAAACAGTAGTATCTAGAACCATCAAATTTTGAATAATATAATCCTTCACCCAAATATGGGCTTCTGAAAGCCTATTATCTATTTCATATTTTGTAAAACTTGAACGAGTTTTTGATTAGCCACTCAACTATTTCAAAGCGAGCAATGGCAGTACTTTATGGGGGGGGGACATTTTTATCTGCAGCATAGGAGACTGTGTATCGGAAATTCTAAAGATATGCTCAATTTAAAATCATTTTGTGGTATTGCTCTTGAACTGAATTTTATTGTTTAAGTGCGAGGAACATGATTATTTATAAATAAAGTAACATGAAAACATTAAAAAAAAAAATTTGGGTAATAAAATCTGAAAACTTTTTTGGTACTTTCCATTTTGCCGGTGCAAGCGAGGAAGTAGACCAAAATGGTAAAAGATGCCAAGAGAATCCTCGCTGGTAACCTTTTACGTTTCATTTTCAAAACAAGTCACAGCAATTTTTATCAGATTGAATGTTTCTTTTAATACTGGGATACAATTACACAGAATTTTTACCAGATGGTTCAATTTTGTGTCCTAAGGACATTCGCGGTAATTAAATCAATTAGGATGCAATCACACGCTCACCCGAAAATATAGAAAAGGCAAAATCAAGGGTTAAATTCATCAATTCTAATGAGAATGCACTGGCGAAGTAAAGCACTGCGGTTTTACATAATTTCTGAGTAAGCTATTCATACGAAATGAAATAATTCTTGCATTTAAACTTGTATTCCAAATTGAGATTTAACTTGAAATTAATGTAGATGATTACTGAGAGAATTAGCGTAGTTTAACATGAGATGAGATCATTTGGGGTCACGTGATATGAAAGCATAGTAAATTCTTAATCTCTTTTTACAAATACAAATTAATGTCTTTCTACAAATTTATTGTCTTTATTTATTATCATATTACAAAATTTTAAATGATATTAAAATGTTTATGCCTTTAAAATAAAAGTTTCTTAGAACTAACACTTGTTAACATTTTTTAAATGTATACTGTGCCAATAAAGTCTGCTTGGCAAGATTTGCACCGGAACGGAAAAGTACCCTTTTTTTTAAAAATATTATTCAAAAGCAGAAATTGTTGTATTTAGATTTAGAATTTTGAGGGATAAATATTTAGTGATGCATCATGCTAGAGCTTATTGTTCAAATATGTATGTTTTAGTGTCACTTCCAACCTCACTTTACACAAAAGTAAAATTAATTATTTTTAGCTTCCATTATCCATTCCATATTGTTATTCCATTATCACAATGGAATAATAATTTATGTAAATTCCCCTCCAAAAGTAAAGTTCACACTTAAGATTAGTAATCAATGGCAAAGTATGTAATTAGCAAAAAATTGAGCAGCATATTCATTTTTTTTTTTTTTTTTTTTTTTTTTTTTTTTTTTTTTCATATGAAGAACCTTTATATGTTTAAATTGCATATTGCATAAATTTGAGTTTGATTAAATTAATGAAAATTTACTCAATGAAAATATTATGCTTTGTAATTGAAACCAATTCTTATACTAAATTTCAACAAAGCTTCTTTATGTTTTCAATGATTTATCATTATATATTTTCCTCTGTTTTGAAATAGAACAAGAGGAAGAGGAGGAAGACATAGGTCCTTTGCCGAAGACTCATGTTCAGTTGTCTGCAAAAGAGTAAGTTCAGCATCCATATTTACAGTAAATATTTTAAAGAATGTAGGGTACAAATTTATGAACAGTGATCATTTATAATAAAATTAATTATTATTTTTTTAGTTATGGGAAAGCCTTATTGCCAGGCGAAGGGGCTGCAATGGCGGCTTATGTAGCTGAAGGTAAAAGAATTCCAAGGCGAGGTGAAATAGGACTCACTAGTGAACAAATACAGGCATTTGAAGCAGTTGGCTATGTAATGAGTGGAAGCAGGTATTGTTTATATTTCAATATTTTTAATGAAATCAAATTTTTATTTGTATCTCTTATTTTAATTTTTAGTGTTAAGTTTTACCTTAACATAGTTTGTTGTTTTCTTTGTTCATAGTTTGGGGGGGACTCATCTCAGGCAACATGCATTCTTAAATTATGAACTGCCATTCGTATAAAAACGTAAACTTTGAATATAAAAATATCACAAAATGTGTCCCGAAATAAGTAGGAGATATTTACATATATGTAAATTTCAATATTTTACTCATATTTTTGGTAAAAATATACATATACTTATTGCGCATATACATAAATCTTTTCAATTCTTTACTTTGCATTTTTTAGTGAAAATTTACATAAATCTGTGCAGTATTTTTACTTAGCAGAAACATGTACTTTTCATAGATTTAATTTGTACTATTTTAACATTAATAAATTTATTAATTTTTACATTAATTTTCCGTATTTTTTTACTTTGATAATAATTTTGGTAAAAATTCATCTCAATCTCATGTACTTTTTATTATGTATTAATGTATATTTAATTGCATCGATCAACTTCGTTCTTTCTAAATATGCTGCTGCATTTAAATACCTAATTTTTGTAAAAGCGACATATATTTTCAGAAGTAGTACACACATATATTTATTACCATATTTCTTCTATAAATATATGGATGTTATGAATGTACTTTTCATATACTGTGACGTTTAACTAATATATCAATGAAATAGAATATGCAATGGATATAGTTATACTTTTACAGTATTTAAAATACACTACTGACACTTTTTTTCCATGCATATGTTGAAATTTTCCTCAGTTTATTCCACAGTCCATTAGGTGTTATACACTTAGTAAAAATGTATGAATTTAAAGTTGCAGGGTATAATGTATGAATTTAATATTAAAGCATTTACTTCAATGAAAAATAGATTTAATTTTAAAATCAATGAGAAATACAAAATTTTATTTAAAAAAATCACAATATTTGATATTATGTGCTGAATGATTACATAATTAAGCTAATTTAAAAAATAAACAACGCTTATATGTTTTACCTTAAAAGGAGACAAACAGAATAAGAGATACCTACCTATTTTTTCAGACTACAACTTCTGTTTAATTCACATTCATAAAAATATATTTGTAGTTTTCTTCATAGATAATTTATCTGATGTATGAGATTTCATCTTCATTAATGGACATTTTATTTAAATAAAATTATTTGTTAGTTAATTAATGTTTTGCAAAACTTGTATTTTTCAGATACAGTGAAACCTACTAGAAATGTAATAAAGAAATTTTATTTTATCCCATGTATTTTAAAAGTACATTCATGCAACCAGTGCTTTAATGCTATAAATATTTTGCCCATTAGAAAAATAATGTATAATAATTGATATAGTAATCTGGCAGGCTTTAATATTTTGGTTTGGTGTGCCTCCTGTAATTTGAACAGAAAATTTATATCAATAATAATAAAGGATATATAAATTAGAGCTAGTAATTGCTAAAAGGAAACCTTTTAATTTTATTATTCAAAGGAGGAAAAACAATGCAATTCAAATGTCATTTAACAGAAACTAAAATGCATCTTGAACATGGTACTTTATCATTCTTAGCATGGAAAAAAGGAGGAATTCTCTTTTCAGCTCAATATCAATAATTTAAAAAGATACCTAATTTTTAAATTTTGCTGTGGATTTACATATCTGTTCAATTATTATCATTATTTTCATTTTAGGTGGCTTAATGTAAAACATAATTATAAACATTCTGATTTTTAATGCATGGATAGGTTAAGTTTTTAGATCTAAAAATAAATACAGAAGAGAAAACTTGAAAGAGACATTAAAAAGCAGTGATTTCATGTTCTTAATTCTTTATAAATGAACATTTCATTTATGAAATGAATGTTGAATTACACAAAATTAATTTCAGTAACACAGAATATCATTTAGTAAAAAGGAGCTCCGTGATAAATTCAGTGATAATCTTAAGATTTCAGCAAATATGGATTATAATTAATGACTGGTTGTTCTTTATATTGTTCGTTAATAAGAACTGAGTGAGTAACTTTTCCCCATTCCTTATAAAAAGAAAGTGCTGTTACATCTTATTTTTCTTATGAAATACAGAAAATGCCCACAGAAATCAAAATGATAAAGCCATAACAATAATGTACATTGTTTTAATTACTTAGTTTTACATTAACCCAAAATATACATAAACAATAGAAAACTGAATACTCTTTTGATTTATTTTTTCAAAACCAGCATCTGAAGGGGGAAAAAAGGCGATGACAATTAGTAAAATAAACATTTTCAAAATATTAATGGTTTAAAAATTCCTGTAAGTTTTTTAAAATTTATTTATTTCAGTAATACAATATTAAATATTAAAGTTGAAATTCAAATGCTGAAAGCAAAATTAGCATAATCATATTTAATAAGACTAGTAAATACTAATGTAGCAAGTGGAGTTTATGCTATATAATAATAACTCTGGTACAGTCAAAAGTCGTTAATTCGGACACCCATAATCTGGAATGATATATAATCCGGACCTCAAAGCTACAAACTTTCTGCGCATGCGTCACATTAACGCATGCGCGTCAGACCTTTACGGCTGCACATATGCGCATGTGCATAATACATTTACGCTTGCACATTTAATGTATAATGGACGGTATAAGCTAAAATTATCTAATTATCTATTTCAGTTAATGTTGCAGATTGCGTTGTTCCTTAATCTTCGAATTGGATCCGGCTTATTATTTTTCGCAGACTGTTAGAGCAATTTTATAAAAGTAAGCTTGAACTTTCGATTATGTCAAATAGAATTTCTGATGCTGGAGCTCCCAAAGGATCTACAAAATGAAAGTATGTTCGATGTCCATCAAACAAAAAGTGGAATTGCTGCAAGAAATGGATAAAGGCATATCCTTTGTTTCTCTAACACAGAGGGTATTGAAAACAAAAAAATTTCAATTGACAAATTAGTCGGTATTCTCGACACAGCAGTTATAGTACTTGAATAGCGGAACTTTGTAACTGAACAAGAAATTATGTCTGTTTGTAGAATTAAAGAGAAAGTATTATCACATAAAACGAAGCAACTTAAACAACTTACCAAATATTTACCTGCAAGATACTTTACCAAATATTTTTACACAATGTATCTAAAAATAGATAAAGACAATACAGACAAAGAAACAAACGAAAATGTTTTGACGCATTATTTTTATAATATAAATGTTCATTTTACTTGTTTTGCCCATGATGCTGTCATTTTCGTCTGTTACTTACTTAAAATTTTCACATTGTTCTATGTTTTAAAATTAGAAATTAAAGTTAATGACCTAAAACTGATGTGTCGGATTTGCACAATACTTATGGGGTCCTGGGGGAGTCGCGGAAAAAATCTCAGTGATAAAAAGGAGTTGTGGCTGAAAAAAGTTAAAGAAACCCTGCTCTAAATCATAGATTTTTTTCAAGGTTTTTAGAATTCATATATGTAAAAGTAGTTAATGAAAAGTATGATGATGATATTAATTTTTTTAGTACATAGTCTGTATAATTTTTGCAAAAATAACGTGTGGAAAATATGTTAAAGCATCAACAATATCTTTAGCTTTTTTATTCTTATAATTTTTGTGAAAATAACATGCAAAAAATACCATAGATTTATTTCACCAAAATAATGTATATATTTTTGGAGACATGCTGCGTGGGATGAATTACCTGCAATAATATTAAATTGAATTTTTTTTTTATCTTGAGATATCAAATTTGATTTTGAGATTAATTTCCTATATTTTAATTATGAAGGCATCGTCGTATGGAGGCTGTCAGGCTTCGCAAAGAAAATCAGATATACAGTGCAGATGAAAAGCGTGCTTTAGCTATGTTTAACAGAGAAGAAAGACAGAAAAGAGAAACAAAAATATTGTCTCAGTTTAAAGAGATGATTAAAGCATCAACTACACATGACTAGTTTTGTATTATTAGTTTGTTAAATAAAATCGATTTTAAATATCAGAAAATCTCTTTTGCTTTTCTAGAATTTTTCTTGCTATATGCCAGACAAATATATCTAATTATCTATTTCAGTTATTATCTCCAAGGCAGATGTTATCATATTATTTTCAATAAAAATAAGAATACCTTTTATGTTTTACAAATAAAAAAATTATAACCATTTGAAATTATGCATAGTTAATGTGTATTTAATGATATAACTTGTTGATTCTATTAAATATCATTATTGATTATTCCATTGTTTCTGTGTCAATATTTTTTTTCTCAACTATTCCAAAAATGTATTGGACAAAAAAGTAGAAATATTTTATTATTGAGCATAAAAAGCTTTGTTTATACAAAAATGTTAACTTCATTAATATTTAGTTGCACATTTATTTTTAAGAACTACACTAATTCTGTGAGTTGATTCAATTTTGACATTTTTCCAATGGGAATCGAATGTCATGCATCTTGCTCAGTTCTTTAATTATTCTTTCAGATTTTATTCCACTGTTCAGTTCATGTTGTATGTTCTTAGTTAAGTCTAATAATTGAAAGGGTGTGGCAGAACATCAATCCTGTTTTGTTTGAATCCACTTTTCATCACCTTTGCGGAATGAATGCTTTAGATCAGGGGTCCCCAAACTTTTTGTCTCTAAGAGCACATTCTAGAATAGCTGTTAGATGGCAGGCACCATTTACTCTTTCAAGGTGAATTTATTATCGGATAGAATTAATACATGCACATAAAAAATATTTTTTTAAAAAAAAAAGAGATTGGTCTCATTCACTTTGTGCTGGTATCTGTGTTGGATGCAATTTCTAGTTCATTACAAATGAGAAAACTTTTGAAATAGGATTTTGCTTCACCATAACTTTTCTATATTTTTGTAGAACTTTTTTCCTCTTTGAAAACAATGTGGTAAGTAGATTTATCATGACAGTTTTTAATAAAAATATATGCAAGAATTGTAAACATGTGATCATGATTTCAACAGACAAAACTGTGCTTTAGCTCACTTCTTGGTGCAATTTTGAAAATTGACAGTTTTGCATATTTCTGAAGTGTTTCCTAAAGGCTTGACACTGAAAAAATGGGTATTAAATGGCAGTAAAAAAAATAAAAATTTTTAACTTAGCCATAGTTTTGCTATCGGTGTTTGGCCATCGGCAGATACAGCTTTACGCTGACTGATAGAAATAACAAATTCATGTCTATACCTTATAATCCAATATCTTCTAATTTTTAAAATGTTACAGACTCTTTAATAATTGGTCAAACCATGAGCCTCTCCTGGCACTTTTACAAACATAATGTGGCTTCACACTCCCTTCATTTCGGCAGTTCCATTTAAATACAATAAAATCCATTTTTGTGTGTCCCTTGTACAGAACTTTCTTCTCTTGCATTTCTTGCCAAGATTTAGTATTTAGAATATCTGCAAAAAATAGAAAATGCACGATTATTTCACATAAAATCCTTAATACCTAAGAATGATAGAGATTATCAATCAAATTAAATCGAACTGTTACATTGATTAAAATACATCACCCTTCCCAATTAGTCGGAGAAAACCTATAAATCATTGCAAGACTGTGCTCATATTTCAACCCTTTCTTCTCTCAAACCTTTGAAATTGGTCAAAAGTCCACCAGTTGTTAATCAAACTTGAAGTTTATGTGTGTGTTAATTCCCTGAATTTCTCCTCTCCCACTTATACAAGCTTCAAATAGTCCTTTACATCATAATGTAATAACTGCTAATGTAGGCGTGTTTATAACCCAGTGTAAATTTTGCCTCCAAGCTTAAAACAATATTTGTTATATCCAGAATTCCATAATAGAGTATTTATAATTGCAGAAAACCTGTAATAGTTGGCATCTCTGCAAATCAAAAGTTCTGACAATTCTACATTAAGGCCAGTTCCACCTTGAAGATCTTTGGTGAATAAAAATGGTTTCTATCTCTATTTTCAGAGAAGCATTTTTTTCTGTCTTTTATTTTACAAGATCTATCTCTGCATTCAGGTACACTTTTTGCACTTCATTGTAGTAGAAACTTTCAGGGTCCAACTAATCTGTTAATTTTTCTCATTGGCAATCCATTGCTGTTCTTCATTAGAATAGTTTGTAACTCCTCCCCCATATATGTATAATTCACATAAGAAAAGCAGTCATTTAGTGAGATATTTCAAAGTTGAATAAAAAGAATTGCACATTTTATAAATATTTTGAAAAGGGGGAAATTAAATGTATTTCTTTTTAAATTGTTGCTATTTTATTTTTAAGTGTATTTTGGGGATAGTATAGAGAAAAAGTTACTTGCAGCAGAGGGCCTAAAAAATACATTTTAGCCGTAAATTTACCTATCCCAAATATTTTAAATCATGTATCTTAAAAATAGATTCCTGTACATCATAAAGGCATGTCTGAGGTACTTTTACTGTAAAAAATAAATAAAAGTAAAATCAGTTATTGTTAGCAATCATGAATTTTTTTAGTGATTTCCGTTGAGGGAAAATGTCAGTTACAAACTAATTTCATATCATTTTACAAAATATTCCATATGTAATCCAATATTTCATTTAAAAGTATTAATTGTTTTGCACACAGTGCATTTACTTTATTTCTCTTCATGAGACTTAAAAAAATCAAAAACATATAAAATGAATTGTCTTATTATCCTTATCCAGGAGAAAGAATGATACTTTGAAACCAAAACTATGTCTGACCTCACTAGTTGGGCACATGTAGAAAATTCCCAAACGGAGATAATAATTGGCAATAAGTAAAAACAGACATTAGATTTAAATTTGCAAAAAAAAAAAATAAATAAATAAATAAAAGATGTTCCTATTTTTTGGCCATAGCCTGTGAATGATTAAATTTAAAGCTGAAAAAATTGCAGTTTTTTCCATGTTGTTATAACTTAATTCAATGAGTATCAAAATTTTATCGGGGTTTGAAAAACTATGAGTTGTTGTCCTGCTCTTTTGTCTAGTTTTAATTTTAAAAAAATAGTGAAGAAAACACTGCAGTTTGCAATAACTATGTCTTCTGAGCTTATTAGAACTAAAGTAAGCCTTTTAAATTAATGTATATATTTTAATCTGCTCCTCTGGAAAAAAAAACCATGAAAAAACATTTTCTGTATACCTTCAATATACTGTTTTATTATGTTATATGAATACTTCTTGTCACATATTGAATGTTGTGACAATACTACATTCAGCTAAGTTTGCTTGTCGCATTTTCTAACTTCGTATTTGTCATATTCTGGTATTGAAATTTTATCAGAGAACAACCCCTGAACATTCAACAACTAACACTGCATATTAGTCATCAAATATTTAGTTTTTGAATTATGGTCATCTCATAGCATCTGTCTCTTTTCAGAAAATTTCAGTGCAGTATTTAAAAAAATTTCTTAATTTAAGATGTCAAATTCTTATTCTCAAAAAATTTGAATTTTTTAAACTAATATTATACAGGAATCAGGATTATTACTAATCATATTTTGATGTTTAAATGAAAGAAAAATTTCCACATTTCTCACTTTGAATCAATCAGGAAAAATTTCCTCAAAGAAAAGTCCCACTTAGAGGTCAAACAGATAAAAATCTGGCTTCTAAAGAGGTTATCACACTTGGCTACAATCGTGGCTAGATGGGACTTCTCTGAGAAAAGAGATTCTGGAGGCACTGATTTAACCGGGAGGATTCCTAGAAAAAAGCCCCGCCTGAAGCGAAGTCTCTCTTAGCTACGGAAACGATGTTGCAGCTACGCAGGATTTTTTTAAACCTCACTGAAAATGTCTCAGCTGGACCTCTGTCCCAGGTAGAAGCAACCAATCAGATGAAAGTTTACTTCTGAAGCATCACATGATCCTAATCTGAGCAATAATCGATTAGTGTTTGGCGTTCAAGTCTTTGTAGTAAGTGAAAGTGGTATGTGGGTTTCTTGGAATATTGCGGGTTCTGAGAATTGTCCTTTTCGACGTCAAGTCCCGCGTAGCCGAAGCATAATGTGATTGGGACATTAGAGTCAAAAGTAGCAAATTATGAATGCAGATGAAAAATTCTTGAAAGGAATTGCTAAGAGTGCTATTCCAGGTAGGTTGGTTGGTTGGTTAGTTGGAAGGGGTTTTGGCACACAACTTAAAAGGTTATTTGTGCCAGACATATGTCAAATATTTCTAAACACAAGTTTAAAACCAGGACATTAAACAAAACACACCGAGGTGAATTGTATATAAAAATGAGAAGATTACAGGTGTGAACATGAGGTACATTAATATACACAGTGTTAAAATGCAAAACAATAATTTAAAACATGATTCAAATTAAATAGTAAAAACCCGACTCTTGCAGGTAATGAAACAAATTAGTGTTGACCTCTTTTCCGATGCTATTCCAGGTAGAGTGTAATGGTAAAGTTAAAGAATCATACTTATTTTTAGCTTACAATATGCCTAGCATAAATTTTACATGCATTTGAGAACCAAAAACTCTCTTTTTTAATTGCAGCTTTCATTTTATTCTGATGGACTTGATTTCAAGTTAAGTCTATGTTGTACAACAAATTAGATGCCTGATTAGTTATAGAATTCAGAATATAGTTAAATGAACCAGTTATTAAAATTGTAATTGCTAGAATTTACTTACGCATTTTATGACAAAAGATTGCTACATCTGTGTAAGACTATCAACATTCTGAAAGCTCAGTATGGATTGAAAGAAAAGGATTGTGTAATAGAGTAACAAAATATGAGTAAGAATGTATCATTGCTGTAGTATTAATTATCTGTCACAGTCATGCATCTAATGTTTTCTGCTTAGCCGAAGCCTACTGCGGTACCGAAGGGGCAAAGTTCAAATCCCGAAGAAGGCATGGTTGTAACTGTCTATCCCTTCACAGCAGGCAATGGTGGCTGCCTATTAGGTGCCAGTCTGAAAAGCAGGTGCCCACCATTAGATTTTAAAAAAAAGTTTTCTGCTTAGATCATGAGTGCAAGTGTTAAACA